ATATATATATATATATATATATATATATATATATATATATATATATATATATATATATAAACACAAATATGTGTGTTTTGGGTTTTATATTTTTATACACAGCAAATAAAAATAAATAAAAATAAATAAAACAACCAAGCAAATAAATAAAATAAATAAATAAAATAAATAAATAAATAAATAAATAAATAAAAACATACTTCTATGGCTTGCAAGAGTTTATCAACTAAATAAAACAAACAAACAAATAAATAAAATAAATAAAAATAAATAAAAATAGAACAAACAAACAAACAAACAAACAACCAAACAAACAAACAAACAAACAAATAAATAAATAAATAAAATAAAAATAAATAAATAAAATAAAAATAAATAAATAAAATGAAAATAAATAAATAGAAACATACTTCAATGGCTTGTAAGTTTATCAACTCAATAAAAACAGATAAAACTAAATAAAATACATAAAAATAAGTAAAAATAAATAAAACAAACAACAAAATAAATAAAACAAACAAACAAACAAACAAACAAATAAAAAAAATAAATAAATAAAATGAATAAATAAATAAATAAATAACATATACTTCTATGGCTTGCAAAAGTTTATCTGTAGCTTCTTTGGCAACCAAACAAACAAATAAAATAAATAAAAATAAATAAAAATAAAACAAACAAACAACCAACCAACCAACCAAACAAACAAACAAACAAAATAAATAAATAAATAAATAAATAAATAAATAACATACTTCTATGGCTTGCAAGAGTTTATCTGTAGCTTCTTTGGCTTCATCCTGCTGCAGCAGTTTAAAAACTTCTCCGCCGGAAATAAAACGCATGCATTGTTTTATGATAGAATTAAAAAAGCCCCGAAATAATAAAACTAAAATATAATTTTTATAAAATATTTTTGTTTTTGTTTTTATTAAATATATTATTTCAAATAAAGGATATAAACTTTCCACTGATACAGATAAATCCACCGTGTCGTCCGTTAACTTCTTTACCCTGCATGCACATATATTTATTTATTTATTTATTTATTTTTTTAGTTTTTTTTTGTTTATTTTTGTTTGTTTGTTTGTTTGTTTGTTTGTTTATTTATTTATTTTTTTTATTTGTTTGTTTATTTAGATCTATATAGTTAAATTTATTTATTTATTTATTTATTCAGGTATATATATTTATATTTGCATATTATATACATATTATATATTAAATATAAATTATATTATATACATATATATATATATTATATATAAGTATAATAATAAATATAAATCTATAAATAAAACTATAAATATAATAATAAATATAATACTAAATGAAAATAATTAATATAATATATAAATATAAAAATAAATAAAATAAATATAATAATATAAATCCAATAAAAAGAAAGATTATTTTAAAAAAAAAAAAAAAAAAAAAAAAAAAAAAAAAAAAAAAAAAAAAAAAAAAAAAAAAAAAAAAAAAAAAAAAATAAAATAAAATAAGATAAAATAAAAAAATAAAAAAAAAACTTTACCATGGTAGTAATAAGGCTAGATATTTAGCGTTTTCTTCTGCTTCTTTTGTGGCTGCATGCAGTTCCTCAATTAATTTAATAAAAGGAATATAATAACTACTATTTTGCTGCTGCAGCAGAGATACAGTCTGCTGCACGTGCTGCTGCTGCAGCTGCTGCTGCACAAAATTTAAAGAAATGCTTCGCTCTATCCAAAACTCTATCTCCTCTCCTGCATCCGCGCTGCGCCCTGCAGCAGCAGCAGCAGCAGCAGCAACAGCAGCAGCAGCAGCAGCAGTATTAGTATCAGTATTAGTGGTAGTAGTAGTAGTAGCAGCAGAAGCGGCAGTGGTAGTAGTAGCAGCAGCAGCAGCAGCAGTAGCAGCAGCAGCAGTAGCAGCAACAGCAGCAGCAACAGCAGCAACAGCAGCAGCAGCAGCAGCAGCAGCAGCAGCAACAGCAGCAGCAGCAGCAGCAGCAGTAGTAGTAGTGGTAGTGGTAGTAGTAGTAGCGGCAGCAGAATAAGCAAATAAAACGAATAAAAAAATAAAACAAACAAACAAACAAAGAAACAAACAAAATAGACAAGTAAACAAACAAATAAGATAAATAAACAAATAAACAAAAAAATAAATAAACAAACAAACAGAATAAATAAACAAATAAATAAATGAACAAATAAACAAACAAACAAATAAATAAAATAAATGAACAAATAAACAAAAAAAAATAAAACAAATAAAATAAATAAATAAAATAAAATAAATAAAAAAATAAAAAAATAAATAGAAAAATAAACAAAATAAACGAACAAAAAAAATAAAACAAATAAAATAGATAAAAAATAAAAAAAAGAAAAAAAAAAAAATACCTTCAGCAATAGCTTGTGCGGAGGGGATAAATAAACAAAAAACAAACAAACAAACAAACAAACAAAATAAAAAAACATAAAAAAAGAAAAATAAAATAAATAAAAAATAAAAAAAGCA